AGGAAATTTAAACAAAATTTTCCCCCCCCCCCCTTTTTTTTTTTTTTTTTTTTTTTTTTTTTTTTTTTTTTTTTTTTTTCTTCCCTGGGAGTTGGCGGCTCAGCCAGGGAAGATGGCAGGAGGAGCGCAAGGCCGGGCGGGTCGCAGCATCCGCGGCTGCAGCCCGCGGCCACCACCCTTGTTTGCGGGAAGAGCCTAAGTTGGTGCGGCGGCGGCCACCGCGGGAGCCGGCGAGGAGGGCCCGGGGCGCAGGGGATGGACCGCGGCGGCGGGGAGCGAGCGCGCAGTGGCCGCGTGAATGATCGCGGCAGGAAGGAGTGAGGCAGCGGCAAAGGAAGGGGAACGGATCCGCCCGCCCGCCCCAGCACCCGGATCCGGTGGAGCTTTTTTTTTTTCCTCTCCTCTCTTTCTTCTTTTTTTTATTTTTTTTTTTTCCCCTTCCCCTCCGCGGTCCCCCGCGTCCCGGCTCCCCGCCGTGCCCCTCTCCCCTCCCGGGCCGGCTCCCCGCGGGTGCGCGGCGGGGCCGTGCGGGGCGGGCGGGCCACACCCTCCGCGGCGCTTCCTGCGAGCCGGGGCCGCGGCGGGCGCCGGGGGCGGCACATGGTGCGCAGCCGCCGCCCCTCCGGCCCCTGCGAGCTGCGCCCGGCGGGCGCTCCCCGAGCGGAGGCGCCGGGGGCGCGGTAGCAACTTGGAGGGCTGCGCCCCTGCCCCAACTCCGCGCGGCGGCGGCGCGTCCCTGAGCTATTGCGTCTGGTAAAGGGAACTTCGCGCAGGATCCCGCAGCCGGGGAGCCGGACGAGGCGGTGGAAGGAAGGGGAGCCAGCGTGCGAAAAGGAAAAAAAAAAAAAAATCCGTGTTTTTAGCTAAAGGATGCCAGACCGGGGCCCGGGGGCGCCCGGCGAGCGCCGCCCCGCCGCGGGAGCGCCGTAGGAGCGGAGGCTGGCGCCGGAACGGGGCGGGCGCCCCGGCCGAGCTCGCTCCCGCAGCAGCGGCAGCCCCGGCGCCCAGAGCCTTTTCTTGCCTCCCGGCGATTAATGGAATGATGTTGCGGAAAAGGCAGAGCGATCCTGCCGGGCTCAGTCGGGACTGCTCGGGCGGCGGCGGAGGCGGCGGCAGCGGGGTAGCGAGCGGCATGCGAGTGCCCCCCCGGCGCTATGGCTAGCGGTGGCTCCGGCAAGTCCAGCAGCGAGGTCTCCGCCGGCGGCATCCCCAGCAGCAGCTCCGTGCAGAGGAAGAAGCTCATCTCTATCTGCGACCACTGCAAGATCAAGATGCAACTGGTGGCCGATTTGCTTCTGCTGTCGAGCGAGACCAGGCCGGTGAACACCGAGAGTCTGTCTGTCTTCGGTGAGTCCTTCGAGAAGTGCAGGGACACGATCATAGCCAGGACCAAAGGACTCTCCATCTTGACCCATGACGTCCAGAGCCAGCTCAACATGGGACGCTTCGGGGAGGTGGGAGAAAGCCTGATGGAGATGGGGGAGCTGGTGGTCTCCCTGACCGAGTGCTCTGCCCACGCTGCCTACCTGGCTGCAGTGGAGACTCCGGGGGCCCAGCCTGCCATGCCTGGCTTGGTGGATCGCTACAAGGTGACCCGATGTAGGCATGAGGTGGAGCACGGCTGCGGGGTCTTGAAGACCACCCCTTTGGCAGATATGAGCCCTCAGCTCCTGCTGGAGGTTTCTCAGAACATGTCCAAGAACTTGAAATTCCTAACAGACGCCTGCGTGCTGGCCAGTGAGAAATCCAAGGATAAATTTGCTAAGGAGCAGTTCAAACTCAGCGTCAAGTGTATGAGCACCAGCGCCTCTGCCCTCTTGGCCTGTGTCAAGGAGGTCAAGACCTCGCCCAGCGAGCTGACCAGGAACCGGTGCGTCTTGTTCAGTGGACCTTTGGTGCAGTCTGTCTATGCTCTGGTGGGCTTTGCCACTGAGCCCCAGTTTTTGGGTAAAGCTGCCACCATTAATCCAGAGGGCAAAGCTGTGCAAACTGCCATCCTAGGAGGAGCCATGAGCGTGGTATCTGCTTGTGTGCTCCTGACCCAATGCCTCAGGGATATAGCCCAACACCCCGAAAGTAGCACCAAAATGAGCGATTACAGGGAAAGGTTGAGGAACTCAGCTTGCGCCGTCTCAGATGGTTGCAACCTGCTATCTCAGGCACTAAGAGAAAGATCTTCACCCAGGACTTTACCGCCAGTGAACTCCAATTCTGTGAATTAACCCCCACATCTTCTGTTTAGATCCCAGTCATTGCTAAAGGAAAATAATATCCCACCTCCTCACCCCTTTTTTGTATACCAAAGAATTTGCTTGGATGAGCCCAATCCTTTGATTTCATGTGGTGAAGAAGCAGAACATATTCAAACTATATGTACTAATAAAGGTAGCCAGTTTTGGCTTCTTTTTATTTTACTTTAAAGTTAAGCAAATATCTGCAGATAAATTTTCCTTTATTCAACAAGGTCTTCACACAAGTGGTAAAACTGTTTCAAAGTTTTTTATATTTGGGGAGGTGGGGGTATCTTAGAAAAAGGAGAAAAAAAAGAGCTTTAATCGCGCTGGGTGCGGTTTTTAAAGTTTGTCTCTTGTCTTGTCTTCCGAAATTTCCCTTCTAAATTTTGCTGTTCGGTTGTGCAGGAAAAAGGTTACCTCAGTTCTTACTCATTTAAAAAAATGAAAAAGCCCAACAACACATAGATGATGGATGTAGCTACTATTTTGTTTGTTTTTGTTTTGTATGACTTTTTTTATTTTGCATCAAGTGTTAGGTTAGAGGTGCATATGGTGTGTAGGAGTGGAAGGACTGGAGGTTGTGATTATGTTTTCCATGTGTTGATTTCCAAACTGGGGGAAAAGCTACTGTGAGTGTTTAAACAAACAAACAAAATTACACTATAACAAAAGTGATTTTTAATTTTTTCCAATGTCAGTTTTTATCTTGCATGTACTGGAGTATTTATTTCATCTATTAAAATGTTATGTTTCTCAGATGCTTTTCTGTGAATCTCTTAATACTTGAAGAATTGAACAACTAGGCCTGTTTGTATTGTATGTCATTTCCTCCAGGGAATGGGTGGTACAAACGTAACTAAGTTCTAGACAGCAGCATACAGGCTTCAATTCAGTTCTGTTATTTGCATAAATACTGTCCCTCTCCCAGTACTACCCCTCCTCCTCAGGAGCCTCTGACAGAGCTACTGCAGTTGTATCTGTGGACAGCTGGGCAGTGTTGCACACACTGGGATTGCTGTGCACTGGGATTGCACTGGGACTGCTCTGCAGAGCGCTGGTGATGGCTGCAGCAGGGCACAGCCTGGCTTGCTTTGTCTTTATCAGCATTCGGTGTTACCTTTTGAGAAGGTTTTGTATTTTAATTCTTGCAGATATTGTCAGTCATCTGTGTGTTAAATCTATGAGTTTCAGTATTATTTCTGGGAAAACTTAACTCTGCTGGTTAGCCTGGTGTGTGCCATTTGTCTTCTTGGGATTGTGAAGGTTTGTTGGAGTGGGTGCTTTAATTAAACCTCAGAGGTTTGTGTTGGAGCTCCTCAGTAGAGACTTTTACCAAAGCAGTTTGAATTTGATGTTGTAGATTACAGGAGATCATGGCTAACTCCTGAAGTGCAGCTGACCTCCAGTTGAATTCCTTGGGAGGTGTGAGTGGAGCTTAGTGCATACTGCAGTAGTTCCCAGAGTTGCAATGATGAATGTTGTCAGCCTGGTCTTTGTGGCCGTGTGAGATCTGTTGCCTTCTATATACTCTGTTAAAGATAAATAGAAGAGCAAGTCTTTAGGAAAGGAGGTTTTGTTTCTGTGTCCTGCTCCCTGTCCTGCATAATTGTGGGGTTTTTTATAGGTCTGCAGATCGAACTATGTTGAAAGCTATTGGAGGAAGCACCTTAAAAATGTTCTTACTGTGGCTTAAACTTTAACAAATACTGAGGACATTATTCCTTTGAAGAAGGAAACCTTTGGGATTTTGGGTATGGAATAGACCTGGAGTAGTCAAAGTCTTTGTTTAATAGCATTATTGTTTCTCTTGCATATGATGCTTTTACTTAAGTGGAGTGAAACGTTACTGGGTAGTGGACAGATACATCTGTCAGAGGAGATACAAGCTATATCCGTATCTTCAGGGTCAGAGAAAAAGAATTCCTTAATCAGACCTCTGGACCTCCTTAAGTGGACCACTGTGTTAGGTTTTGTTTATATTTAAATGGAACTTGTCTGACTTCAGTGGATTGTATGAACAAGACTTTTCTTTGCCATAATCAGCCCAGGCTACGCTCCTGTGGGTTGTGATGTTCTCACCATGCAGCGTGTGCTGCGGAGACACGGGTGCCCACAGCTATGGGTATAGAAGTATAGAAGTCCTCTCACTGTTTTTTAATAAATAAATACATGCACACAGTGTTCTAATTTTGACTGAGATGCCTCCACAGGTATTTCCTAGGAGGCTCTCGCGTGTGCACACTCAAACATTTTCCCATCCGTACAGCAGGAGCAGCTGTAGAGTCCGGAGGGACTCGGAGGAGGCCAAGGCCATCTCCAGGGAGCTCCTGTGGCTCTGTGCTGGTTGCAATATCTGCTCAGCTGTCCTTTGTATCTCCCTCCCTCGTGGGTGTCTCCGTGGGAGCTGAGGCACCTCCCAGGCTAGCGTTCCTCCTTTTCCGCCGTGGCTCGGCGGGAAGGAGGAAAAGGGGCAGCAGCAAGCGCAAGGCGTTCAGGATGTGCTATCTCCAGCCCCAGACAGGAGGAGAGGAACCCGCTCCACCCTTCCTTTGCACGGATCCTGGATGGGCAGGGCTTCGTGTGGGACGTGCAGGGATGGTGCTGGGGAGCTGCAGGGTGCAGGTACAGGGAGCATCCTTCGGCTCCAGCTCTTCTCACTCACTGTCACCTCCATGGGTGAGGCCTCCTCCTTCCCGATACAAACCAGAGAATTCTGAAGGGCAGCTCTGCAGCACGTCTGGCAAAAAGAAAAGTAATGTCCCACTGGCTCTTTTGATGTTTCTACTTAATAGTTTTTGGTGCTGCTGAACTAATTAGATCCTTTTTGATTCATTTATACGTTATTGAGGTTACATGGATCACTGTACAGCCTCCTTATTACCTCTGCATATGAAAGGCACTGTATTATTAACGACGATAATGCTGATTTTTGTTGTGGTAAGATCTTGTTTGAAGTGGTTTAGTGCAATTTTTGTTTTAACAAGGTTACTGTAGATTCTTCCTCCCCTTTCTTATTTTATTTTTAAGTGAGGTACATGCATACATATATAAATAAGTACATATATTCTTTTTTTAATACTGAAAGAAACCAGACTGCCTCAGGTCTCCCTTTGCTTTTGAGTTGTGTGAGTTCTGTGAGAATTCAGTTTTATAAATAAAGTGGGAAATGTAGCCAGACCATGATTTTTTAACAGGCTGATTAAAAAAAAATACATACACACAAATAGTAAACTCACCAAAGTAGCTTCCTGTAAAATTTAAAACAATAGTAATTTTAACAGTTAAAAATGTTCAGTCATTTCTTTTGAGAGTACAACTCACACAAAGGGAGGCACACACTGCACCCTGGCCTCAGCTCAACAGTGTATCTGTCAAAATCTGTGCTACTCATGTAATTAGCACAGCAAAGTTGAAAAAAGAAAAAAGTTCTGTTGCCAACAAGCACAACTTGCACATTATGGCATTCTTCTGAGCTGAAAAAAGTGGAGTGCCACTACTAAGTGTGTCTATTTTAAATGCTGTAGTGCCACATTTATAAAGACTTAATGTATATTGTGGTAATTTATTTGGAATTTATTCCTATAGAATATTAATTCTGACACAAGACATTAGTTCAGGTAGGTAGATCCATGTTGTTTGTTTACTTTGTACTCTCTGGGCCAGAAAAAATACAAAATGGATGAGTTTTCAGGGTGTACTTGCAGGGCCCATCGAGGTCAGTGATTATCACTTGGCACCATACTTAGGCCCCTGTTCCCAAATCTTCCACACCATTTAAGTCAGCAGGTACTGTGACTATTTCACCATGGGCTTACACAAGCATGAGATGTTTTCTGATGTGGAGTCTTGAGGGGAAAAAAAGGTTTTAGGGTGCTTATATCACATATGTCATAGACTGCTCTAACAGTACATTTAATAAAATGGTTAACTTATTTCTAAAGACATTATGCAATGCACATTTGTAGCCAAAAACCCGATATTCCCACCACAAGAGAAGTTGTTTTTTAAATGTAACCATTTTTTAACAGGGAAGAAGCTGCCACCTTTGTATTGTCTGTAAATTTGATACTATCTTGTGGTTGCTGCTTCGGCATAGGGAAGGTCATTATTGATGTAATACAGCAGCTGAGTTTGAGTTTGAGATCGGAGCAATGTGTTTTCTGATTCTAAAAAAAGTAAGTTCTGTAAGGCAACCAGTAAGCCAGCAGCAAAATGCTATTGGAAAGCAAGTACACTATTTAAGGGAACTTGCAAATGTAAAGCCATGTTATTTTTCAAAACTAAGAAAGAAAAAAAAAGACCCTGGGTCAGATAATTCCCTTCACTTTTTACCACAGGAAATGATCAAAGTAGCAGAAAATCTGCTCTTTTTGGCCAAACTTCTGTCAGAGACAGAAGGGGTCCAGCCAACACATGGTGTATGCAGCCTTGCAGTAACCGGGGATGTGGCTGATGGGAAAGGAGGTGGGACCAGAGAAAATCCGTAGGGCAATACCTCTTATTAAACCCACAGGAATTTTGCTATTCTAGATAAAACAGTGGCTGTTCCAATAAAGCAAATCTCAGACAGCACAACCTTTCTTTTGGGGCTGTCAGAAGGCTGGGAGCGAGGACGTGGGGCTGGGAGTGTTTGGGATGCTCTGTGTTCAGCAGCTGTGCTGCTGTAGGGAACCAGAGGTCTCCAGGGTGGCCCTAAGATATGTAAGAAGTACAGGCACAACGTGTACCTGCCAGAACAGTTTGGTGGGAAACGGAGGGGTTGGGTTTTATCTTTCTTTGCTTTCTCCCCTATCGGGCTCTTTCCAGGCTTCACAAGCAGAAGCAGATGGTAGGGGCCAGTACATTTTACTTCTTTGTTCTTGCTGCCTCTGAAAGGTGCCAGATGGGTAATGATAAAGATAGAAATTCTCTTCCTGTAGCCCAGGGATAGCGGAAAACGCAGAGCTTCAAGGCTGCCCTATCCTCACAGGATCACCATAACATGTTTTTTTGGGCCCACTGTTTCACTCTTTGATTTTTTGCCAAGAAACTGACAGAAAATCCCGATGGCAATTTGACAAGGGCATTGAGGACCAGTTAAATATTTCCCATATGACACCAAACCACCACCAGGTTTGGATCACTCACAAATGATCCAAAAAGTATATGGGCTAGGTATGAAGCGCAAGGCCGGATCCTTCATATTAATAACTCAGAAAATTAAATACTGTATACTCTGAGGTGTTTACTTACTTGGGAATTAGAATTATCATCTTTTTTATATGTAAGACTAGTTCAAAAGTTTATTTAATTTACATAATTAGCAGCACTATTCAGAACCATCTTCTTAATGAAGACAGACATCTGTAGACATGAAGGGCCTTGTCCATGACTTTAATTAAATACTAATGTTTTCCAAACTATGTTCAAATGTTAAGGGTTGTTTTTTGTGTGGCAAAGTAAGGAATTACATATTGATTTTCATTAATCTGAATATTTTCCTAGAGCTGGTTTTATTGTACTGGAGTCCTTTGAACCTAAAAGGGTTTTTTATTTTGTTTTTTTAAAACCACGCAGAGTATGATGCTGTATTCCAACAAGTCAAAAGCAGCATTTTGAGATTAATGCAGAGATTCCTGGGGTCTTTTGTCAGCTTGCCAGGCTCTTGTTCCTGCTCTAACGTAATTCTTTATAATTTCCTTTTATGTTAATAAAGACTTCTTGTGGCTGTAAAAGTTGAAGTTGTCTCACTCCATAGACAGCCTGGTTCTTATGTAGA